ACTCAATATGCATCCTTTAAATCTTCGTCTCTTCTATCCATTTTTGTGTATAAATTCTATATTCAACCATTACTAACTATGTGATTTTGTTAATGGGATTTTTTATGGTTATATCGAACTGATTGTGAAAGATTATAGAAACAAAATATGTTTTCCTGTTCTCTTTTTATGATTTTCTTTGAATTAATGAATTTTATTTATGTGTATTTCTTATTGTTAACTTCATTATAGAACAATAAATTTCAATTTTCAGATTACTTTTAAATTAAATGGATGAGTAAAAAAAAGAGACACTCGAAAAGCTCTTGTAATTCTCGTAGTCGTCGAACATCTCTTTCTCATCAAAAGTTTTCTCCTTATGACAGGATATGTTTGAACTTTTCTATAAATGTATTTATAAAAATCAGAAGTGTTTTGTCACTCTTTCGAACAGAATATGATAAATTATCTTTTAATCTACCTTCAAGCAGAAATTCGCAAATTTCTCATTAATTTAAAAAGGACAGTTAATTAGATCTGATTAATAATTGTTAGATAAAGAAAGAACTTCGTTCTTTTCCTAAAACAAATTTTCTGAAACAACATTCAATTCTCTACAAACTCGCATTAGTTTTCTAATCATTACTGATATCTTTTGAGTCATAAATAAAGAAATTTTCTCATGTAAAATGATGTTTTCTACCAAAACTGGATTTCACAATACGCCTTTTTACCTGTTAAGACATTACTGAGAAATTTTCAAAAGTTGGGCGATCGATAGAGTTTTGCAGCGGCTACATTCTGATCGATCTGATTTTCAAAAAAGCCTTTTTTCTTTAGGCTATAGTAAGGAAATAAAGAAAAAAGCACTGTACAAGAGCTTTTCAAGTGTCTTCTTTTCTTTGCTCATCCATTTAATTTAAAAGTAATCTGAAGCACATGCAGCTGGTATTTTTTGTAGATGACGATAAGATTAGACGTGTAGCCTTTCGTATGATGGAGATATAGGCTTCAACTTTTTTCCAGGAACTTTTGCATTACCCGTTAATAAAGAACTATGTTGACTACTGAGAAAAATTAACATTCAAAAGTATTGTTAAATTGCTTGAAGAACGTCTTATCTGTTTTTCTATATCCTTTAGTATGATAGTGATAAAGTTGATAAACATGAAAAAGAAATAATTGAACAATTACAAGAAATTGAGATTCAATTATAAAAACAATTACCATCAACAACATCGATTAATGATAAAATTCGAAATGTTAAAGTAACGTTTGATGCAACAAATGCTGAATTTGAACGAGCAAGAAATGATGCAAAAGAAGCGAGAGAAAATTTTGAACGAATTAAAAAAGAACGTTATGAACGTTTTAATTCACTTTATAAACATGTTTCAAATTGTATCGATGAAATTTATAAACAATTGACAAATTCACAAGCGGCTGTTGCTTGTTTTACAATTGAAAATAGAGAAGAACCCTATTTGGGTGGTATTACGTACAATTGTGTAGCACCTGCAAAACGATTCAAGCTATGGAAAATTTGCCGGTGGAGAAAAGACTGTAGAAGCTATTGCATTGATGTTTGCTTTGAGAAGGTACGTTTTTTGCTATTAGTAAATTATTCAGAGGAGACGGATGGCTAACGGACAGGTATACTAAAGATGAAATTACAATATTAATACTGAAAATATACAAAACTAGAGTCAATTTTTCTTTTCTATTTTAATTTAGTTTTAAACCGGCTTCATTTTTTCTCTTGGATGAAGTTGATGCTGCTTTGGATAATACAAATATTGGAAAAGTATAGGAGAAAATTATTGGATATTGTTTCACAATTGTTAAAATTAATTTTTAACAACAATTGTTTTAGGTAGCCGATTTCATTCGTGAGCAATCATAACAAGAATTTCAATATCTGGTTGTATCATTGAAAGAACAATTCTTTTCTACTTCCGATGTGCTTGTTGGGATTTATCCAGAAAATATATCGGCTGCATGTGGATAAATGAGACGCTTATTGCTTTTCTATGTAACGAATATGACAGCAATTTTAGGATATTTGTTTGTATTATTGTTATATCTGTTTTAGCCTGAAGATTGATTGTAACGTGTGTCCCATGAAGAATGACCCTCTTAGTATTTTCTCAATATCTTTTTGGATTCTTATCCTTTCGGGCTGAATTTTGTTTTAAAAGATTCAGTTTTCAATGCTCTACAAAACTATCTGGTTTTGTTAACGTAAATAACTGAAATCCTTTGTTGACAAACGATTTGTCCAGCTGTTACAACTTTCAAATACAACTTCTGCTCGAATGTTTTTTACTGCACGTTTTAGTTCTTGAATTAGGGTTGCTTTTGATTTTACTTTGTCCCAATTGATAACGTGAACAAATTCATCCCAAATGGAATAGTCCAAAGGGTTCAAATTCGGACGATTTGGGGGCCAATGATTCTTATCTATAAACGCAGGAAAATTGTCTTTGCACCATTGTTAAGTTAAATCGTGTGTGTATGGCCTTGCTCCATTCGATGAACACTTGTTTTTGAAATATCCAGTTCAGTCGACAGTTTTCGAATTGATACTCTTTTCTTACGCTTTAATCGACTTTTCACTTTTTGAATGTTTCCTTCCGTTCGAGCAATGCGTGGACGACCAGGTGAATATGATGGTTTGACAGAGTCAGTCTCGACGATCATTTTGCACCATCGTTTAACTGTTTTGAGACTAACGGCACCGTTTAAATCACGAAATATTTTAGTCGGACCATCACCATTTTCATACTTTGAAAGTACAAGGTTCCGAATATCTTTACTTTTCATTATCTATAAA